TCTTGTTACCCAGGCTGGAGTGCAATGGCGCGATCTAGGCTCACAGCAACCTCCGCCTCCTGGGTTCAAGCAATTCTCCTGCCTCAGCCTCCCGAGTAGCTGGGACTACAGGCTCAAGCCACCATGCCTGGCTAAATTTTTGTATTTTTAGTAGAGACGGCCAGGATGGTCTTGATCTCCTGACCTTGTGATCTGCCTGCGTCGGCCTCCCAAAGTGCTGGGATTACAGGCATGAGCCACTGCGCCCGGCCAACACATTTGTTTATCTGCAATTTGAATCTAAGTGGACATCCTGTATTTTATCTGACCACCCTACCCAGGAACCACAAGGCCAACCAGGGCAAAAGGAACGGCTGGGTCAGGTCAGTGGGGACCCAGACAGTCCCACTCCAGAGCCATGGCATCCTCAGCACAGCCTGGGCCTGGGAGGCTGAGGCTCTGGGGACAGTGGCCAGGCCAGGTCCATCAGCTCTGGGCAACTTTTTCCCACTTCTATTCCCCCCACAGAAACTGTCTCAGGAGGTCCCATCTCCAGGGATGCCCTGGCGAAAGACTGCTCCCTGGCATGGCGACTGACTCTGTCCAGAACAGATTTCCATATTTGATTAGTAGGTAGAAGGTCACATAAGACCTTCATTTTTGGGATTTTCCTATAATCTTGGTATTCTTAGTAGAGACCGGGTTTCACCATGTTGGCCAGGCTGGTCTCAAACTCTTGACCTCATGAATACAAATTCTCGACCTTTTCGTTAAAGGAAGACATTCAATAAACTAACACAAACAAATAAGAACTTTTCCTTATGGTCGCCGAAAAGCTGAGAACAATCAGTTTGTTCTAGAGAGGTACGAGCTCTCCTGAGGTTACCGAGACCAAGTCTGGTGGAGGCCCAATTAGTCCTAGGAGCCTGGTATGGGGAGAATGCAGAAGAACCCCAGGACAGAGTGGGTCCTTCAGATCCCCCTGCCTGGGTCTGGGCTGCGGGAAGGGCATGATTCCATCTCTCCACAGCCAGCCCAGAGGCGAAGCTGCACTATGCAAGTGGTGACCAGGCTGACCCAGCTAGAGTCTCACACATCAACCCAACTGCTGACGGCCAGGGGCAGGGCCTTCCTGGGGAAAAACAGTATCCCCTCCACCCCTTACCTGTCTTACTCACATCTAGGGCACCCGCAAAAACACAAGACACCACTAACAGTAACATTATTAACCAATGACATCCACGCAGGACACCACGCACAGGAACGTTCTTAACCAATGACAAACACACAAGACACCACAAGCAGGAACATGCTCAGTCAACCAGCGATGTCCATACAGGACACCACGAACAGGGACGTTCTTAGTCAACCAGCGACATCCACACAGGATACCACGAAAGGGAACATTCTTAGTCAACACACGACATCCCCCAAGTGAGCAATGGTCTCTCCCGGCTCCAACCTAATATTCCAACCAAATCAAACCTCTCTGAAACATGTCTCCACTCCAGCTAAAAAAAAGTGCTAAGGCTCCCCACTGCTGCCCCCTGGTTTCAGATTCCTCAG